AAAAAAAAAAAAAAAAATTACTGCTATTTTGAGTATTTGTAATTCATTTCTATTCATGTTAACAATTGTCCTATTCATTTTGTCTTACAGGTTTGCAAAATTGCTTTCAGAAGAAAAAAGGTTTAGGGAATTAAAATCACCTTTCAGCAAGGAAACCTCCACTTAGCTGAATTCTTCTACCTGGGGATTATTTATCATCAAGCACTAAGACATTTATTAACAATTATTTATATACAGTTAAAAATAGCTAGATGATGAAGATGAATTGTATTTCACATCATAAAAGAAAGTGTTTGGTAATTTATACTACTAAAAAACTGGAGTATTGAGCAAACAAGAATATTAACAAAATGACGTGCACATCCATATTGTTACAACAGATAATGGTGGTCCCAGAAATAAGTTATTATCAGCTGGATTGTGTACTGCTAACGGTAGAGGCATGATGCTGTTGAGAGGGAATCTTGATTAGATTAATGAGTGTAGCTTAATCATGATTTTAACAGCCTCCCTCAAGCTGGAGTTTTACTCATTAACTCCTAGCTTGTCTTTTAGAAAAAGGAATCTGGAATTTGAAAGTGGTTTGGTGAGCAAGTCGGCAATTTGATCAGATGAGGGAATGTATTGGATCTTTAATTTTCCTTCAAGGACTTTATCTCTCACAAAGTGTATGTCAAGTTCAATATGTTTGGTTCGAGCGTGGTAAACAGGGTTAGAGGCCATTGCACTAGCACTTAAGTTATCACACCATAGGATAGGCAATGATGTAGAGTGCAGTTTGATTTCTTTAATTAGTGACTCAATCCAACTTATCTCAGCTGAATCTTGTGCAAGTGCCCTGTATTCTGACTCGGCACTTGATCTAGAGACAACCTGCTGTTTCTTAGACGACCAGGCGACCAAGGTATCACCAAGGTATACACAATATCCTGCTGTAGACCTCCTGTCATCAGGGCAAGAAGCCCAATCAGCGTCTGCAAAACCGGTGATGTTCAAGTCAGTGCTTCTTCGGATCCACAGGCCTTGTTCCATAGTTCCTTTGAGGTATCTGAAAACTCTTTTTGCTGCCTTCCAGTGAGTATCAGAAGGTGTCTGAAGAAATTGACTTAATTTGTTAACTACAAAGCTGATATCTGGTCGTGTGTGAGCAAGGTACTGAAGGCCACCAATGGCACTTCTATATAGCGAGGGATCAGTCATCTTCTCACCTTCATTTTTGGAAATGCATTTCCCTACTAACATGGGTGTTGCGCAGAGTTTCAGATGTTCAAGGTTGAATCTTTTAAGTAGATCTTTGATGTACTTGAGCTGAGTAAGATGCATATCGGTTTCAAATCTCTTGACTTCTATCCCTAAGAACTGATGGAGTTCACCCATGTCTTTGAGAGCAAATTGTGAATGTAGCTTGTTGATGAAACATTGCAATACGTTATGATTATTTCCAGTGATCACAATGTCGTCAACGTAGACCAAACAGAAAACAACATGCTCTTCACTTAGATAGAAGAAAAGGGAATTGTCAGCCTTAGACTTGATGAATTTCCAGTGCAACAGAGTTTCTTTCAATCTCTCATACCATGCTCTAGGGGCTTGCTTAAGCCCATAGAGAGCTTTCTCTAATCTACAGACAGAGTTTGGATTTACTTCATCAATGAATCCCTCAGGCTGTTTCATAAAAACAACTTCAGTTAGTTTTCCATTAAGGAAAGCATTGTTAATATCAACCTGCCTGAAACTCCAACCTTTTGACACGGCCAGTGACAGTATGATCCTTAAGGTAGAAGCCTTAATTACTGGACTAAACGTCTCGTGATAGTCAATCCCAGAGGTTTGTAGAAAACCTTTGGCAACCAGCCTCGCTTTGTGTTTCAGAACATTTCCTTCAATGTCTCTCTTGAGTCTAAACACCCATTTGTTACCTATAACTTTTTGATTTATCTCAGGTGGTACTAGCTTCCAGGTTTCATTTCTCATAAGGGCTTTGTACTCCTCCTCCATGGCCCTTCTCCAGGTTTTGTCAGACAGAGCTTCAACCGCATCATTTGGCTCAGAGTTGCTTAGTTCACTTTTGGGATAATTGCAAAGTGCAGAGTAAACTTTGGGTTTAAAAATGCCTGCCCTGCTTCTAGTGATCATAGGATGCTGGATTTGAGTTTCAACTTGTCCCTGATTGATCTGATCATCTGATTGAGTTTGTTCAACCTGAGTGACTTCATTTCTATTGCAAGGATCACCAATTTCAACTGCTTCTGGAGACTCATTTTCAAATTCCACAGGTAGACTAGAACTGTGAGATGTTGCTGGTTGGGCTGAACTAGGATGGATTTCATCAGACGATCCTGCAAGACTGGAGTAAGAAGGAATGTTGAGAGGAAATTATTGAATGGTTGTTTCAGAGGGATGGCTCATTTTATTTAGAAAACCATGCTGAAAGGGGAATTCATGTTCATTAAACACAACATGTCGAGAGAGATATATTTTTCCAGTAGGACTAAGGCATTTATAGCCTTTGTGAGAGTTGCTAAAGCCAAAGAAAACACACTTGGTGGAATGGAAGCTGAATTTATGATGCTGATATGGTCTAAGACAGGGAAAACATGCACAACCGAAGATTTTGAGTGAATTGTAACTGAAATCTTCTTTGTTTAGAACTTGGCTGGGCGATTTCATTTTGAGCACAGGTACAGGAAGTCTGTTAATGAGGTATGTGGCTGTATGAAAAGCCTCCCACCAGTAGTGAAGAGGCATACTGGCTTGGGCAAGAAGTGTCAAGCCTGTTTCAGTGATGTGGCGATACTTTCTTTCTGCCTTGCCGTTTTGAGAAGAGGTATAAGGACAGGAGAACCTCATATGAATTCCTGACTTAACAGCAAGTTCAGTAAAGGCCCTAAATTCTCCTCCCCAGTCAGATTGGAGAGTTTTGATTTTTGTATTGAATTTATTTTCAGCCAGGTTCTTGAATTGGAAAAAGGAGCTTAGTGCTTCAGATTTGGTTTTCATAGGATATATCCAAGTAAATCTACTATAATCATCTATGAAGATTATGTAGTATTTAAATCCTGATGTTGAATGCAAGGGAGTTGGACCCCAAACGTCTGTGTGAATCAAGTCTAGAGGTGCTAAGGAGAAAGACGTTGAGTGTTTAAAAGGCAGTGAATGAGCTTTCCCAAACTGACATGCGTCACAGAAAGGATGTGCTTCATAGATATTAAACTTTTCATTACATAGTTTGAACACTTGAGACATTATAGAGGTAGAAGGATGCCCTAATCTCATGTGCCATAACTTTAGGTTAGACAAGGATTCTGTGAGACCTTTTGATTGAGCAACAAAGATAGATGAACTGAAACTGTTTGATTTAGCAGGAGATTGATATTGATTTACTTCAGTTGAGGCAGGGGACTGAGTGACGGTATCTGGTAATTGAATCTGATATAATCCATCCTTAATTCTCCCCTCCAGCAGCAGCTCCTTCGTCCCTTTGTCCTTGATAGCACAAGAATCAGAGTGAAATTCCATAAAAATTGTATTATCAGAGGTCAATTGTGAAACACTTAACAGGTTTTTCTTAATTGAAGGAACCAGCAACACATTGTTAAGGGCAAGTGATTTATTGTTTCGAGTATTGAGATAATTTTTGCCAATATGAGAGATAGAGAGTTTATCACCATTTCCAACAGCAATTTTGTGCTTACCACCATATTCCAACGCTTCAGTTAAATTTCCTTTTTCTGCTGTAACATGATTTGTGGCTCCTGAGTCTGCATACCATGCTGGATCAGCCACTGTCCTGGAAGAGGCCAGCAAGGCAGTTGGTTCTGGGGATCTAATTTGATACTGATAATCTGGTTTGGCACCCATGTACCTTTCATCATAGCGATTAAGGCACCTGGCAGCTGAGTGATTTGTCATACCACTAATTTGGTAAGCACTTCTGTTTGCAAAGAATCTACCTCCTCTACCTCTGCTCCTGTTTCCTCTGTAGTTGTTTCTGCCACCATAACTGAACCTTCTTTCTTTTGAGGTGTTTGGATTGTGAACAAAGTTTGCTGATGCTTCACTTAAATTTACTGCTGCCAGACCATTTTTCAAGCTATTGAGGTGCTCAATTCTGCTTTCATAAGTCATGAGTATTGATTGAAGTTCATGCCAAGTGATTGAATCTCTGCTATTGATTTGAACCACGATGGGGGTATATTCATCATCTAATCCCACCAATACCTGAGTTACAAGGTCATTGTGTGGAATGACTTTTCC